AACAGTGACCATTTTCACTACAGGTGAAAAGGTTTCTTGATAATCTAGTCCTTCCCTCTGATTATATCCTTTGGCTACTAGACGAACCTTGAATCTTTCTACTTCTCCTGTTGCTTTATACTTGATTTTATAGACCCATTTGCACCCTATGGCCTTCTGTCCTTGTGGCAAAGGAACCAACTCCCAAGTTTTATTATCCTCCAAGGCTTGAATCTCTACCTGCATTGCTTCCACCCACCTTTTATCCTTGATTGCTTCAGAAATTTTGTAGGTTCCACCTCAATAGAGAAGCTAGCCAAATAACTTTGATACTTTGAGGAGATCACCTCATATCCAATAACTTCTGAGATAGGATATTTGCAACAACTCACAGAACCTGACTTGTCTGGTCTAACATAATCCTTAAGCCATATAGAGGGCTTTGATACCCTAGTTGATTTTCTTAATCCCACATCAATGGGAACATCAGAAGAAACAGTTGGGGCTGCAGGAGGATTAGGTTGAACTTTAGCATTGCTATGAATAGTAGTAGAAGGATTGTCCTGTTCAATTAAAGGAACAGAAATCACAGCTGAAGGGCTTGGAACATTAGGTGTGGCATAAGAGCTATCTGTAGCAGAACAGTCCACTACCATTGGTTCTTCATTAAAATCCTGCCTAGGCACTGGACACATGTCTAAGAAGAATGAGTTGGATGTGCTTTCAGCTGGATGAAAAGGAAACATGTCTTCATAGAACACCACATCTCGACTGATAAAAATACTCTATTCTTCAAATCCAACAACCTATATCCCTTTTGATGTGCAGCATAGCCCAATAGAACTGACCTCACATATCTTGGTGCAGATTTGTCAGTGTTTACTAGGTTAGTAGCAAAGCACAGGCAGCCAATAACTTTGAGATGTGTTAGTGAAGGTGGTTTACAAAAAAGTAGCTCATAGGGTGATTTATACCCCCAAAACAGATGAAGGAATCATGTTGATGATATATACAGCAGAGTCAATACAATGTCCCCATTACCTGACAGGTAAATGTCCTTGAAATCTGATTGCTCGAGCAGTTTCAAGTATATCATTTCCACAACTCCATTCTTCTGAGGAGTGTAAGGGCATGAGCTTTGATGAATAATTCCATGTGATTGAAACAAATCTCTACAGGCATGATTAAAGAATTCACTATCATTGTCTGACCTAAAGACCTTGATCTGCTTGTCAAACTGTGTCTTAATCATAGCAATAAAATTCTTGAGTAAGAAAATAACATCAGACTTAAGTCTCATAAGAAACATCCAGGTCCACCTAGTATAATCATCAACTAATGTAAGAAAGTATCTCATTCCATTATGAGTAGCAACCTTATAAGGTCCCCATACATCCATATGAATCAGGTCAAAACTGCATATACTTCTGCTAGTACTAGTTTGAAATGGTACTCTAGTTTGTCTAGCTAAGGGACAGACTTCACATTTAGACAATGTGCTACTGTGTATGTTGCTACTATATTCTTGTAGACTGGAAATTCTTCTAAGAACTTGAACCGGCACATGTCCTGTTCTTTTGTGCCATATATCCATGCTTCCCTTATTAGTCACTGCAAAGACTTTATTCACTTTCTTTCCTAGTGCAGCTGACAGAATGCATAGATCTTTCTCTCTTTTACCAATCTCCTTCACCCTCCCAGACAAGAGGTCCTGAAATACACAACATTGAGGAAAAAAATAACACTACACTTAAGATCTTCTGTTACTTTTGAGACTGACATAAGATTGAACTTGAAAGATGGTACACATAACACATCCTTCAATACATCACCTCCTGCGAGCTGACATTCTCCCATATGAGAAATAGTGGCTGAATCCCCTATAGGTAGTTGAACCTGCCCTGAGTTCCCTACCGAAATTTCATTTTTCAGCAAACTTTTATCACCAGTCATGTGATTAGTAGCACCAGTATCAACTATCCATTTGCATAGCTCTAAGTTTTCACAGAGTGCTATATTGCCACAGAAACATTTACCTGCCATGTTGACACTTGCTTCTCAAATGAAGTTCTTGTTCAAGAATTGGAACAATTGATTGTATTGCTCTTTGGTGAAAGATTGACCTGTCTCAACATTGCTTCCTAACTGATAAGTAGTCTGTGGACTTCTCAAGTCCTGCTGTCCAGTTGAGTCAACCATCACTGCATTGGCTTTCTTCTTCTGCTTGAAATCAGTTGGATATCCAACAATCTTGTAACAATTGTGCTTGCGATGTCCTGTCTTATTACAAAATTCACATTTTATTAGCTTATAGCACTCAATCTTAGTATGACCTTTTAGATGACAGAATTCACATTCTAAGTTGAAATTTCTTCTTGGTCGAGCAATGAAAAAAGCTGTAGGATCAGTGCACCCTGCTTGCCCATATGCATTTCCAGCAATCATCTTCCTGCTTTCATCCTGTACTACCATAGCATAAGCTTTATCTATAGACGACAGTTGTTGGCATCCATAAGATTTGACTCCTTGGTTGCTCAAAACTATCATTTAACTCCATTAAAAATTACAACAGATGCTGATATACCAATTGCTCAATGTATTCAGTAGCAGATGAAGGAGGTGGCAATATTGAATCATATTCTGCCAAAAGGTCCTTCAATTGTAAAATATGTCGAAACAGATGAGATTCCCTGTGTTAGAGTAAAAGTCTCCTTGTGCAAGTAGTACAGTCTCGATCCATTCACTTTGTCAAATCTCTCTTTGAAAGCTGCCCATATCTTCTGAGAATTAGAAGAAAACAACACTCTTGTGACTAGTTCTCTACTTAGATTGCTCATAAGCCATGAGGTGACGATGGCATTACATCGATCCCATTGACTTCCCAATTCTGTACCAAAATCTTCCCTCGATGTCGATCCGTCAACTAGGCATAATTTGTTCTTCCCTAGCAATGCGACTCATCGCACGGCTCCACAAAGAATAGTTTTCCATTCCTGTCAAAATTAATCCCACCGACATGGATCCAGGACCGTCTGAAGGATGGAGGTAAAGAGGATGATTATGATCCAGTATAGTCGTGCTTCCGACCACTCCAGTTCCAGATATAGCTCCAGCATTCACATTCGTGGTTGAATCTTCAAGAATTGCCATTGAAATACGAAAAATTAGGGTGTAAGCTTTTGAATTTGAGTAGATCCTCTCGAATTTTTCTTCAACTGCTCGAAAAATTCCCTAGAATCACTCGTTAATACTGCTCTGATACCATGATGAATTTATCAACGGCATGCAATTAGAAATCGAAGATTAGGAAGAGAGAAATTTTGAGAGAGAATTTTGAGAGGAAGAACTCTGCTCTTTCTTTCAATTGCAGAGAGAATGAAGACGACTAAACAGTGTAAATAGAAAAACTGTACTTAACTACTCTAACCAACTAGTGGGGCCCAGCTGTAAACTAATTGCAACTAAATTAACTTAACTAACTATGGTTAACTACTAACTATAACTATATCCTTTTCATAACTCTAATTTCGGAAGTAAAATCCATGATTGTTATCAATAACCGTCAGCAATTCTGTCGGTTCCGAAATTCATGCCACGATCCTCGACCAATCACGGATATCTTGCTCTTTCCGTTACTAATCTATCCCCGATGTTACTCGAAGTCTATCTCCCCTGGCTTCGATTGATACCAACCTCGATCTCGAACTCGATGCCTTAGCTCTTCGATGCAACGTCCTTGTTTCGATCAAATAGTGAAATCGGGTAGCCCCGATTTCTACCGTACACAGATACAAAGTTGAGAAACCTTAAAATAAACTATTTCTTGGAAACTACTTACAGTGTTAATACAAAATGCAAGTAATTTCTGTATAAAAAACCTATGATATATTTTCCTGATGGGTCAGAGGAGCCTAGAAATTAGAATATTAGTTTCTGGCGATCTATGTTTAGGTTGAAGAATTTGTCATTATGGATGCTACTAGAAAATTAATAGGGAAGAGTTGTTGACACAGTGGAAAGGGCCATAGTAACCTGGCATTTAAATGTCATTAAGGACCCACAGATTGTGGGATTAGCATACTTCCTAAACTTAAATCAATCACTTTTTCTCTCTGCCAGACTGCCAGTAAAGCAAGGCGTTCCCATCAGCTTAACGACGAACTAATTAACATAAAAATCACCATCTTTCTCTTCTATATATTCTACTAACTACTAAGCAGCTGAGCGATCATTTCCAATCCTCATTCCAAGATTTCCATCATTAACGTCTCCACCGATGCTTTTCTAAAAAACGTCTAATATTGTACTCGGAAAAAGAAAAGATTCAAATACTTAATAGTCCAATTTATTAATTGGCGTGTGGTTTGCTAGCCTTGCAATTCTTTTTTTTAGTCTTTTAGGTCTCTTTTGGTACGCTGGATAAGGAATAATTAATCCCAGAAAGTTTATCCCATGTTTGATTGAGAGAAAATTGCGGTATAATTAATCGCGGCATTAATTATTCCGAGATTGTAGTATTTTTTTATCCCATGAAAATATGGAATAACTAATCCTAGGATAACTTCTTTCCAACCAAACGATCTCTTAGTATTTGGAACCCGCCAACTCTTCCGGTCCGTAGGGTCAATTTATAGCGGAAGCGTCCCTTACGAGGAATTGGTTTATTCTCAAAGTTTAATCCCAAATCTCTAATTAAAGATAAATAAATCTTATTTATCTCGTTATATGCTTAATTGTTCCCCTTTTGAAACAATATAAAAGTATATCCATGTCCAACTTTTTAAGACAAATCAATCTCTTCCACTCTTCCCCCGTCTAAATCGTAAAATAAAAACATAAAATTGGAAAGAGAATAAAAAGAAGTCAAGTTTACACTATATGTGGCATTTTTTATATGGTGAGATGAATTTTATAGTATGCGTGATCAGAGAATCATGCCTAATTTTTGGACCAAAAGAGTATAGAAACAATGATTGAAAAAGGCCATTGTCTATCCTAACATATACTCTTCCCACACCCATGGCCCCAGTCCCCAGCCCAACCTCTCTTAAGTCTTGTCCCTTTTCCATCTTTTTTTCCTTTTTTTTTTCTTTTTGATGTTGAAACGACCAAGGCTGCTAGTATATATTAACATGCTAGGGTTAGGTTTATATTCAGAAGACTAAGCTTTATTTTCAAGCTCTCCTTTTCAAAGTAAAGAATCCCGTAGAAGAACTCAATCTAAAATCAGTCTCCTTATCTATATAAGTCAAAGTTCAAATAGGGTTTTTTCAGAATGATGAAAAAAAGGCAAGTGGTTGTGAGAACAGACGGATCGAGAAGGAACATCGGAGGTTCCTCGACTAGGAACATACGCTACGTTGAGTGCCAAAGGAACCACGCGGCGAATATCGGAGGCTACGCCGTAGACGGTTGCCGTGAATTCATGGCGAGTGGAGAGGATGGGACGACCGCCGCCCTTACATGCGCTGCTTGCGGCTGCCACCGGAATTTCCACAGGAGAGAAGTCGATGGCGGCGAAGTTGTTTCTGAGTGTTGATTTATTATGATGATCATGTTTCGTCCAAGATTTATGAAAAAGGAAAGGTGAGTTAATTTTTTATGTATCAGATCAGTCTATTATAGTAGTAGTTTATTATTTGTGGTTTGAGCTTGAATATTTGTGTATAATTGTTGTACAAAATTGATGAATTCCAGCTGAAAGAATCTTTCTTGTAACTCAAACAAGATATATTAAATACGAATCAGAAGATTTTATATTGAAGTGTTTGATTATTTTTTCTTTTTCTCTTGCTTCCTCTGCTAATAAGGATCAAATCGCAACTTCTTTAATAACTGTATCTAGTAGTTAGAAAGAGCAAGCTAGAAACTGATCCTCAAGTTCCAATAATTAAATCCGAATATACATAAGAGTACTGAAAATTGTTTTACAATTCTTTCTACATTATTTTGACTTCAACTTGGAATAGAGATATTGAAAAACTTATTTGAAAAATATTTGAAGTGGAATAATTGTCACTAACGAACCTTCTAACTTTATTTCCAATGGAAATTCATGTCTAATGCCAATTTCAAGTTCCAAATTCTTTTTTTTTTTTTTTTTTAACTTCGACTTCAAATATTCATTTTTTAATTGCAACCTAATATTTGTCCAAACGGGCTTAGTCCACGATTTCATTAGCACCTTTTGCATGTACATTTGAGCCAAAAAACTTAGTTAGAGTCCTTTATTTAGGGAAGACAAAACCCTGGCTAATTCAAGAAAATAGCGCTATGATTTTACCTTAATATGCGCTTAAAATAAAATATATCGCTAATAAAGAATATTGATGAATCATGAGGAAACTTCATCTCTATCAATTCCATGGTGTACAAGACAGATAATATGTCTCCTTTATGAAGCTGCAACAGATAGTTTCCAGTTCAGCCAGGCATTATAATAGAGTGAGTTTTTTGGAGCTTTTGGTGCTCAAAGGAACCAAAAGACAGATAAGTAAAAATAATCCAATCTTTAGCTCATATTCTATTGCTCCATTAAACTCTCTGGCAGACAATTGGAGGAACACAATTTTTTATCAAGTTGCATCATTTCGGCTTTGCAGAAGTGATCGTTTTATTTATCAACTCTTCTAGGCCCACATATCTACTCATGTTTTCTTGCCATAATGCAAGTCTTCTTACTAATTAATTAAAAAGCTGACTAAAGTCTAACTACAAATAAAATAATGTCGCTCAAGTGATCCTCATGTTCCTCGAAACGAAATATTAGAATATGAGAAAGCAAAAGTTAAAGAATAGAATATGTTAGGTGATTCTACATAAAATCATGGTGGATCATACACTTAATTTCCTTAATGACTTTTTGACTCCAAATTGGATTTATTTAATCATTATTAATCTCTAAAGAAAGGATGATGAGACAAAGCAAAGATCATGGCCCAGGCTCTGATCTAGTGGTTAATAGCGCAACCAACCGCCGTTCAAAAGAGATCCCGAAGGCTCGAACTTTTTGCTAGCTTTGAAAGATGGGCCGAAGGAAATGCTTAATATGTAAGTTAGGCGCATATCACATATTTGAATCCAAGTGATTAAGAGCGCAATGCTTAACATGTAGGTTAGAAGAGAGGAAGATTTAGATTCAAAGAACTTGGAGATTTTTAAGTCATTCAAACTTTCCAACACTGAAATCATCTAAATTCTTGACGACTTCCCTTGTCATTTATAAAATAGGTTTTCCCTTTTCTTTTTGGTGTCATGTCGAACTTTTTTATTTTGGTTGTGTTGTAGAAACTGTGGCACTGCACAAAAGAATGGCGTGGAATCACTCAAAAGAAAAATGAGTAGTTGAGAATGACTCCACGTTGCAATTTACGACAATGGATTTAACTAAGTTTTTCCACTTATCTTGGCAATATATACTTACATTCTAAACATATTGCTGAATATTTTTTCACTTTGGTTTGTTCGCCCATCTACAAGAGATTTAGATGGGCGAAAATAGCTGAAAGTATATATAACTCGTCTTCAGCAGGTCTTAGATTTGATATGAAAAACAAAGGATGAAACTTTACACCACGTTTTACAATATGCTAACAATGGAAAAGTTTGTCTTTTTCTTAATTTTCTAAAATCTAAAGCTAGAAGCTGAAACATAAAGAAAAGCTTGAGATGATTTGGTTAGTTTATTACAGATAAAGCAACAATATTCAATTGATACGACGCCGCCGGGTGATTTGACATGAGGCCACTTATGTTGGTTGGTTTATGTGGTTTTAACACTGCGTGATGAGATAAAAGACCCACTTAATTCTGCCTCTTAAGTTTCAATTTCAACTTCGTTTAAACAGTTGTTTCCATTGACCTTGAGTAATTAATAGTGCAAATAAACATACCAAAAATCTGCATCTTTATAAGGCGATCATTTTTCTTTAATTTAATATAGTATTAGAATTCGATGAACTGCAATTATTCAAGATTTACGAACGCTTACAAAGTCATGTTATGTTCGGTAATCTTGTGAATAATCACTAAGGGTGTGTTTGGTAGGAAGGAAATGTTTTTCTTGAAAATATTTTTCTAGAAAATATTTTTATGGGAAATGAGTGGTTTTTCATTTATTTTTCTTTATTTGGTCGGTAAATGAAAAATATTTTCCGAAAAATATTTTCTAGTGTTTGGCTAGAGAGTAAAAATTTTTCTTTTTAGGAAAATATTTTTTTATGCTACTTTCCTTACCCCCTTCCCCCATCCCCATGTTTCCTTGCTCTCCCCCCTCCCCCTCCCCCAAATACCCAATGTTTTCATGACTCTATTTTTTTCAATAATTTAATTATTCTTCTAAAAAATTCACACAAATCCAAAGGAACTAATGTGATGCTTTACTTTTTTACGCAAAACAACGTTGAAATTTATGCTCCATAACTATAAAGAAATTACTCTTTTTTTGGTTGGAAAAGAAAATACTCTTTATACAACATAAAAATAAAGTAATCATTTTATTGAAATAAAAGAAAATACTTTTTCTACATCATGAAAAGAAAATACTCATTTTGTTGAAATGAAAAAAAATATTTTTTTTTACATCATGAAATGAAAATACTTTTTTTGCTCAATGAAAGAAAATACTTTTTCTACATCATAAAAAGAAAATACTCATTTTGTTGAAATGTAAGAAAAGACTTTTTCTAAATCATGATAAGAAAGTACTTTTTTGTTAAAATGAAAAAGACACTTTTTTATATTTTGAAAAGAAAATACTCATTTGTTGAAATGAAAAAAAATCCATCTATAACTTGAAAAGAAAGTACTATTAATAATATTTTTATTTAGGATGGGGATGAGGGTGGGGGCGAGGGCGAGGGTAGGGGTGGGTTGGGTTGGTGGGGATAGGGAATAGGGTGGGGAAAGTTGAAAAAGATTTTTGGAAAATGTTTTCCCTTCTCTTGATAGGGAAAACATTTTCCTCCAATTGATGATAAAAATATTTTCCAAAATATTTAAGCCAACCAAACATGCATAAAATGCAAAACAGTTTTTGAAAAATATTTTCCTTCGTACCAAACACACTCTAAGTGCAATATCAAAGAACGATTCCACGTCGGAGTATTGAATAGTTGAGCACTTGAGTGTTACCAATGGAATTGTTATCAAGCAAACAGCTCTCGTGCAAGCCTTCTATCACTTAACCTGAGACTCAACACTAGATAAACACCGACGTGTTTGCATAGAGCGTATTTGTTTGGGCGTTATTAGATATCTTTTTTACCATTTAATTGAAGTCTTCCAATAATTGACTAATTAACTATTTAGCTGGGAAGATAAAAGCAAAGGAAAGAAATCAGGTAGAGCTTTTCCAAACGTACGTTGTTCGATTCTTGCTATGCGTTTTTCTCCGGAAAGATGATATTGTATAGCCGTTCTTAAAATAATAGTCAAATTTTTATTTTGTATATGTATACATTAAGTATGTTATGTGCAAAAATTATATAAATTTTATACACTTTTTTCGAATACCGAATTTAATAGTTTCTATCGCGGGCTAAAATTAAAAATAAAAGCCCTTTTTCTCACTTTAATTTCTCCACCTTGGGCCACAAAAAGAGATGAGGAGAAAGAAAGAACCACAATCTGTTGCATAACATTCACTTGGTCAAAATACTTGTTCATGTGGACAGCCAAAAATTAGAATTCTTAACTTATGGCTTTAGTCATAAAAGTCACTTAAAACAAGCCCATCTAAATAGGCTCTTTAATTGGTAATCGACTAGTAGTATCTAGCAAATGACACATTTGGCCGGTCGATCAAAAATATCAGGGAAAATTTCATATTAAAACAATTGGTCTGCCTCCTTTTCAACTTTATAGCCTATATTTCAATTTACAATTGAGTAGCCCAAAAATTATAGGCCCATATCTGAAAAAGGGGCGTTATTTTCGTTTTTTGGGAGTAAGAAGCGGGATTTTCTGCATTTTCTCTGATTCTTTCCAATCTTCTTCCCCAAATGCTTCAAAAATGAGATCTTCCGATCAATGCAACTCCAAAAATCCTAGAATTTCTTCTTCATCTCAAATTAACAACAAATCAAACACGAAAAGTAAAATTCGTTTGCTGCAAATCAGCGCAATTTTCGTTTTTGCTGCAATTTTGATTTCAATTTTTTTTTCGATGGAGATTTTTCCAGTTTACGTTCTTCATAGTGGTGAATGGGAAGAAAACAAGTTTATCAATTTCGTCAGCGATTGTGTAATAATCGAGTCGACATTCACCTACAACAATTTAGTTGCAGCTATTTCGGAACAGATTAGGATCGACAGTGAGTTAAACACAATAGAGATTAACTTTCTCCCAAATGTTGGTTTGCCACCGATCCTGATTTACAACGATACAGGTGTGAAGGTGTATATCGAATTAAAGAAGAAAAACTTGAATTTCACTGAATATCCGTTGTTTGTGACAGTGAAAGAGATTTATGAAAATCGTTTGGTTCCTACAAGTTCTAGTTGTGTAGTTGCTACAAGTTCCAGCTGTTTGGTTGCTACAAGTTCAAATTCTAGAGATGTATCAACAATTGATAGCACTGAGATTATTGATATCAAATTTATTAAAAACACGAAATTTAGTGAAAACACGGGTATAATAGATGATATATTGAACGAATTTGTTGAGGAAGATCAAGTTTATAAGGATAAAGAGACAGTTGTCAGTGTGATGAAGAACTTGGCTGTACG